CAACCCCCCCACCTTTCCTCTCTGTCCTGTCTCTTCTACATAGGGTGTATCCCTGAATGCCCGCCGCCCAGTCGTGGGTGGGGTCCCATCAGGTTTCTGTGAGCCCTACTAAGTCTGGGGTCTTACTTGCAATCAGGAGGCACAGTTCCTCCTGCTTACTCCCCATACTACGAGCATTAGTATAGAGGCACCTGAGGCCTCCTGAGGGTGCTTGTGCCTTCCTCCCACTCCCAGGACAGTTGTGGCCCCCTGCTCCTCGGATGTTGATACTTACACTTACCTGGGCTTCCCTACCTCTTGTCACCCTGCATGCTGGTGAAGCATCCTCTCTACTTGAAGCCGCCCCTTCCCCTGGTGAAGCTAGTTTAAAGCCTGCCATATGAGATCAGTCAACCTAGAGGAAAAGATATGTCTGCCATTAGGGGAGAGGTGAAGCCCATCCCACCGCAGCATGCCCTCCTTACAAAAACATGAGTCATTGTCAAAAAACCCAAAGCCTGCCTCTTGGCACCAGCTCCGAAGCCACCGGTTAACCACATCAGTGCAGGCCTCATGACACCTACCCCGTCCACTTACCGGGAGAATGGAGGAAAATACCACCTGCGCTCCCGTCCTCTTCCGTTGGTGTCCCAAGGCCTTATAGTCCTCCATGATGTTATCCGGTTTGCCCTTGAATGCATCATTTGTACCCACATGGACTACAACCAGTGGGTAGTAGGCAGAGGGCTTAATGATTTTAGGAATGGTCTCTGTGATGTTGCGAATCCTCGCTCCAGGCATGCAGCAGACCTGCCGTGACCAGGGCTCTGGGCAACAGATTGGACCACTCTGATTACTTGTTTCAGTCAGCATTGTGATTGGCTGCCGAGACAACCAGTCAGAGTGCAAATAAAGCATTATGGACAGACAGACAGACAAAGGCTTTTATAATATTAGAATGAATAGAAATACTCAAAAGTAAATGCATCCATGTGTCTTCACCCCCCCTCACCCTGTTCCAAGCACTAGACACCCTCCCCCGACTCTCATAGCTATGTGTAGAACCCAAAAGTCCTGGCTCTCTGGGTCACCTGCTCAAACCCACTAGACATCACCTCCTATCCCGCATCAGGAGTGCACTGTGGAAGTCCAGGAACCTCCTGGTGTGCAGGCACATGAACCTAGAGGTGGTAGACTGTGTTAAAATGACTTTGAGTGAATTCCAGGCCTACTACCAGAAATCAGTAGCAGAGGACGGTGAAGATGCAGCCAAAACTGCCTGGCAGAGGGACATTTGGCACCGGATTTTGAAAGACCCCCCCCACCACAAGTGAGGAAACAGACAGTGATGGCAAAGAGGACATTGAGACAACTGGATCGGAAGGCAGCCATGAGGACAGCAGCAGCAAAAACAGCAGTGGGTCCTCCAGCGAAAGCAACAGCTAATGAACTGAGTTTTAACTCTGTATTCAGGGACAGGACCCATTCTGTGGGTGCGTATATTGTAACGGGTATGCGGGTTCCTCTGGTCAGTTAAATAGGTAATGAACATTGACTAGAAGGTGTCTATATATATCTATATCTATAAAACCATGGACAACTGGTGCCAACTTAGTCAGTGACCAGTCAGCAACTGGGGGGAGGACCCCTGCCACCAATCTCACTGACAGGGGTGGGGGGGTCCCTCTGCAGCAAAACTCACCGACTGCTCTGGCTCCCACCTACCCACCCTGCCCATTGCCTAAGCAAGGAGCACAGCCAGTCATGGGGTGCACCAGTGCTCTCGGGGGGTGTGCATGCACCTGCAGGCACCCACTACGTGTCACCACTGTATATAATCTCTATATAATGACATCACCTCCTAACCAGGAGCGAGTATAGTAAAATGCTGTTATTCCTCCTGGGTGGTAAATGGAGAAGAGGTTTGCATTATATGTACCTGGAGCAAGGAGGTCACCCTGATCTCTGCTGCAGTTTCAACAAATGAGCCAGGAGTCCACATTGCCCAGGCAACACGGCAGTGAGGAGAAAGTCTCTCCGGAAATGAGTTGTCATTGTATAGGCAAATAACTAAGGTTTTCACATGTTACCATGGCCCAACTGCAAAGAGTTGTGATGTTGTAGGGTCAGCTTTGAGATGGTAAATGAATTAAGACAGTGAAGAGGCACCTGGGAGGGAGGGAACAGACTTGACCTCAGCAGAGGGGCAGTTTTGTCGTGTGAGCACAGCTTTGAGGGAGGGAGATTCAAAGAGCTGTAGGGAGCACAGCACAGTCATAGAAACATAGAGTCATAAAAATATAGGGCTGGAATGGACCTCCAGAGGTTATCTAGTCCAAACCCCTACCTGAGGCAGGATCATCCTTATCCAAACCATCCTAATATAATCCATAATCTAAACTCTACATAAGACTATCATCAGACCTGACACAACACAGGCGTAGCACCCTAACTTGTCACAGGCAAAGTAGGGGAACCATGGCAGCCAGTGTACTACTTCTATTGTTGTCAATATATGCTCAAGAGGCCTGGGCAGAGGGCCATGCTCCCTGCTACAGAAGAAGGCAAAATCATCACAATCCATACCAGTTTTAGGATAGTGTGCGGGCCGGGAGCGCCCCGAGCCCTTTTTTGCGCTGCACGCGGGCTGTGGCCAGCAGCCCGGGCACGCCGGGGCGGAGAGGGAAGGCCGTCGCTCTGGAATTAGGCACGGACGCGTATCGGTAGTTTAAAAGATTGTTTACTTGCACCGAGATGGCAATGGTGTAGGCTGGAAAGCTTGATTAAGTTGCAGTTACAGACAGACAACACAGACGGACTCGTGGAGGTTGCTAGGCTGCACGGTGGAGAGCTCCGGATGCTCTGGGTGAACAGGCCACCAATGTAGAAATCGTAAATACGTCTTATATTAGTCACGCTCGAAGACGGGAAGAGGTGGGCAGTGGATCAGGCTGCCACGCTCCTCTGGATCTCACACAGGGTTTCTATTACCCTGCCGTGTATCCAGAGTCCCCACGAGATGTATGTGGAGTCCTCTTCGGCTTGGGCGGAAACTGCTCAAGCCTCTTATACGGCTAACAGGCCAATCGTTAGCCGCCACGTGTGAATAATTTAGCACTAGCCAATCACGGGGAACGAATTTGCATACCAGTGGCGGGAACTCTTTTGTACCGTGCATTCCTCTTGCAACTCGAGCAATGCACTCTGCAAAAGAAGCTGCAGAAAAGGCGGGAAACTGGTCCCTGCACCGGGGTTTCCTCTTGCTACAGGAAACTCCCGTGCAATGCTCTGCAACTTAACGTGGATAATTCTGATGCCGAAGCACACACACACAATCATGCCTTTTGGGTCATGACAGATAGAAATTCCTTCTTGACCCCAAATACAGTGATCGATCTGATCCTGAATGGAGGTGCAAGACTCTAGTCAGGAACCTCCATTTTTGGTCCCAGCAGCAGCATTGGCACACCTCAGCCAATTCTTGGTGGCAGCCAACACCTAATTCCTGTGAGGAAGGCTTAAAAACACCCTGACACATGTAGCAGAAAGTCGGGGTGGGGGCAACCAGTAAAGCCCAATAGTAGAACATAAGCATGGCTACACCTAGGTCATCCCTGACCAGTGGCTGTCCAACCTCTTCTTGAACACCTCCAGTGATGGAGAGTCCATAACTTCCCTAGGCAGTCTATTCCACTGACTCGCTATTCTAACAGTGAAGAAGTTGTTTTGGATAGTCAATCTAAACTTACTTTTCTGTAACTTAAAGCCTTGGTCCATGCCCTCCTCTCTGCAGCAAGACAGAAAAGGTGCTTTCCTTCTTTTTTATGGCAGCCCATGAAGTATTTGAAGACTGCTATCCACAAGCTGAACATGCCCAACTCCTTATTCTGTGGGCCTAAGGTGGAGTAGGGGAGGGTGCGCTGCAAGCAGTCCTGAGCCTAAGGTTATTGCCAAAACACTCACAAGAGCTAAATCTCTCTTGGTATTATTGGCTTAATAATCTGATTTTCCCTAAGAATATTCAATAGTCCTCTTCCCCCTTCCCTCCTGCCCCTCTCTCAGCCAATACAATTGTTTATTTTAAGCCCTTGGACTCGTTGCTTCTGAATATTGCTCAGCAAAGGCACCCAGGTGACATAGTTCAATTGCTGCATTTCTGGCTCACCTTGGGGTTTTTTTAGACAGGCTGCTACTTAATTGTACCTGGGTGTCTCTGCTGCCAACAGCTCCTAGCTGAAGAATGATGTACATGTCAATGTACATCTATATTTTATAATCCCTGGCATTCATACACATGACACTTATATACCTGCTTTCTACTCAATCCCTGATCAACATCATTTTAGATATGTAGCACATTCATGTTAATACTTCATCTCTATTTAATAACATTCAGCAATTTACATACTTAACACTCATTTATTTTAATGCTCAGTCCCTCATTTTAATATCCAGAGTAGTTAGATAGGAGCACAGGTCTGGATGAGGCCTCCCAGGTCATAGTCCAGGCCCCTGTGTTCATTAACAGAAAGATTCCTAAAAGTCAACCCATTCCAGCCCTCACAGTCACTGAGCACATCCTAGACACAAAACCAAGATCCCCTAGAGCCCCCCGCCAATAGCCTGCCCTGCAATGGCAAGGAAGATACTAGCTTAGGCCCAGAATGCCCATTCCTCTTAACCCACACCCCTGTCAGTGATAGAGACCCTGGTGACTCCCCACTCCTTTGTATTTTGAGGCAGCTTTGAAATTATCATCTTGTAATTGGAACAATACAGTTGTTGTGGACCAATCAAAGAAGACTGACTGCTCATACAGGACTATGTCAGCAGGTTTTCTTGGCCCTCCTTGCTCACAGCCCATGTATCCCCCTTTTGCCCACTCTCCTTGTCCTATCACTCCTCCTGGCACACTCCAACTCTGTGGCAGAGCCAATCTCCCCATGTCTTCTGTTCACAACGTAGATAGCTGTGTGGGTTCTCCCCAGTTGGTGTCTTTGGATCTGCAACAAGACAAAGAGACATGTTTCTTTAATGGGGGCAATGCAAGGAAGTCCATGGAGGCGGGGCTAGATCTTGATCTTGGCAATCTGGAAATAAATCTAAGAGTGACTCCAATTACATCCATGGAGCCAGATCTGGACTCCACTTCGTTGACAATGTTGGACAAATGGTTTGGCAAACCAAGGTTTATTGCATAATATATGGCCAACCAAGGCAAACTTGGCAGCTTATATAAAAATGACTCTTACTCATTCACACCATACATACTACACACCATTCCCACCATTCCCACTAAGTCACCTATCTGCGGCACTTGGACTCACACTGTGGTGGTCAGTTGCAGGCTTCTTCAAAGCAATGTTCAGTCAAGAGGGGCGCCAGCTTCAATTCTCTCAATGTGTGGATCGGCTGGTGTTATTGGTTAAGGCGTCTCAGCCTTATGGGCTATATGCGTGGCTCCAACCACCCCTTTACCACGCCCCAAGCCTCACAGATGATACTGGCATTGTCCTGCTGAGGCCTCATTATAATTTGACCCCTTGTCTTCGCTGGGCTCGCCTCAGCCCTTGTCGTTGAGCCCCTCGGCGCCGTGGTCTGTGCCCTCTCTGGTGCCAGGGTCTGTGCCCCCCAAATGCTGCACCCTCTCTGGTGCCAGGGTTCCCCACACTGCAGTGGGCCCCCCAATGAGGCCTCCTCCTTCCCCAAATAGCCTGACCCAAACCACCAGTGTTATCAGACAGCACACAAACAACAGCCAACCACCATGAGTCCCTGGGCTGTAATGTAATGCAAAACTCCCATCATGCTCTGCCTCTTTAAAAGAGTAAAACTCCCTCTCTGAGGCTCAGTGCCTAGTAGGCAAGGATACCTTATGGGCTCCTGGTGTCCCCTTTGTTTTAAGGGTAGTGCATCTGTTTGCTACCACATCTCTGGGGCCATCCTTCCTTCCTGGAGGCTCCTTCCCCTTCGGCTGCTGGTAAGGAACCAACTGCCGGGTCCCAGCCCTGGGGTTTATATGGGCCTAGGGACCTGCCTCCTCCAGCCAGCTGACCAGGTGCAGGTGCGACCAATTCCCTCATTAACCGGTTGTCATGGCAACCTGCACCTGGGTTCTTATCTGGCTCTTTGTGCTCTCTCCCCGGGCAATCTCTGCTCTAAGAGGAGCAGGCGCCTTAGTGCCCTGCAACACTGTCATTGGGGTAGGCAATGAAGTATATGAAGTAGGAGCTTCAGTCATGGAGGTTGCTGGACCAGATGTGGTAGGAACTTCAACTGTGCTCACTGCAGATTTGGAGGTGGTGGGAACTTTAATCATGGGGTCTGTTGGTCTGGATGTAGTGCCAGCTGAGTGATGTTTGCCACTGTTATGTTGGTTGCTGATGTGGAAATAACCCATGCTGCAGTGGAGGTGGTTTCAAGTGCAGTTGATGTATCCACAAGTGTGGGCACACTGGGAACAACAGTTGTGGTGTCTGTGGGACTAGAAGTCATTGTAGTTCCATATGTGATGACTGCTGGGATTGATGTGGCACCACCTGTACTTGTAGTGGCTGCTGGTATAGAGATGGTGGCAGCTTCAGTTGTGGTAGGTGTAGATGATTTGGTAGTACCAGCTGCAGGTAAGTTTGTCACTAATGTGAAGGTGGTGTGATCTTTGGTCATTTTGGCTCCTCTTGTGGAGTGGATAGCTGCTTCAGTTGTGTTGGTTGCTAGTTTGGGGTCTGCGACTACTAGAGATAACAGTTTGCCGGTTGCCATTGGGGATGGTGCTGGAGTGGATGTGGTGGCAACTTCATTCATTGCTGGTCCTGAGCTGGTGGGAACTTCTGTGGTACCTGCTGGGGTGGTGATGGTCATTAGGGAGGCGGAGGGGGTTCTGACTGCAGTAATGGAAGCTACTGGTTTAGACACTGCAACAGCTGCACTTATGGTAGCTGTGGGAGTGGAGGTCATTGTAGCATTTGTTGTGGTGAATGCTAAGAGAGATGTTGTGGTGTGTTGTAACCTAGTGGTTGCTGTTATGGAGCTGGCAGAAATCTCAGTTGTAGTGGCTGTAGATGAGGAGGTGGTACCAGCTGCTGTTGCATTTTTTTAGCGGCATTGATGAGGCACGTGCTTCCATTGTGGAGGCTTCTGGTATGGAGGTTGTGATAGTTTCAGTCATTCTTGATTCCAGCATCGAGACTGTGACACCTTTAGTCATGGTGGCTGCTCTTCTGGAGCTGGTGACAATTACATTTGTGGTCCCCATTACTGAAAATGAAGTGTCAGTTCCACGTGAGGGTGGCCTCTGCCATGGAGCTGCTTCTGGCTTCCATCATCATCCTCGACCTCAGGAAAGCTGTCTTTGACAAGCTCAGGAGGCTTGTCAGTGAGGTCCTAAAGGGCCTCAGCCCAAAGGGGAGGGGAGTTCAGGATGAGTGGTTGCTCCTCAAGAGAGTGATCCTTGATGTACAAGAAAAGTCTATCCCATCTCAGAGGAAAGGCAGCAAAAGGGCACAGCAGCCCCCTTGGCTCTGCAGGGAACTAGCGGACCTCCTGCATCTAAAAAGAAAAGCCTACAAAGGATGGCAGCTGGGATCCACCTCCAAGGAGGAATATTCTACACTGGTCCAGACCTGCAGAGACCAAACCAGGAAAGCCAAGGCTGAAACTGAACTCCACTGGCTACAAGTATCAAGGACAATAAAAAGTCCTTTTTCAGATATGTGGGAAACCAGAGGAAAAGCAAGGGCAACATTGGACCCCTGCTAAACCAGATGGGACATCTGACAACTGACACCCAGGAAAAAGCCAACTTGCTAAATGTGTACTTTGCGTCGGTTTTTCACCAGTCCCAAGGGATGCCCCTGCCCATTACGGGACAGGAAGGCCTGGGTGAGGGAGATTCCTTACCCTCCATCAATGCTGACCTTGTGAAGGAACAGCTTGAGAGGCTGGACACCTTCAAGTCAGCCGGCCCTCACAATCTACACCTCAGGGTCCTCAAGGAGCTGGCGAGCATCACAGCCCAGCCCCTGGCACAGATCTTCAAGAACTCCTGGTGCTCTGGTGAAGTGCCCGAAGATTGGAAGAAGGCCAATGTGGTGCCTATCTTCAAGAAGGGGAGGAAAATGGATCCAGCAAACTACAGGCCCATTAGCCTGACCTCTATCCCAGGGAAGGTCCTAGAAAAGATTATCAAAGAGGCCATTCTCAACAGACTGGCCGATGGGAAAATCCTGAGGGATAGCCAGCACAGGTTTGTTGCAGGTAGGTCTTGCTTGACCAATCTTATTTCCTTTTACAACCAGGTGACCTATCACCTGGACAAGGGGGAAGAAATTGATATCATATATCTTGACTTTAAAAAAGCCTTCGACCTGGTATCCCATGATCACCTCTTGGCAAAACTGGCCAACTGTGGCCTCGACTTCTCCATGATCCACTGCCTGGGGAATTGGCTCCATGGTCAGACCCAGAGGGTGGTGGTTGATGGAAGTCAATTGTCGTGGTGCCCTGTGACCAGTGAGGTCCCTCAAGGCTCTGTGCTTGGGCCTATATTGTTTAACATCTTCATTAATTATGTGGACATTGGTATCAGAAGTGGACTGGCAAAGTTCACCGACGACACCAAACTCTGGGGTAAAGCATCCACACCTGAGGACAGGAGGGCAATCCAGGCTTACCTCGACAGGCTCAAGAAATGGGCAGATGAGAACCTGATGGCATTTAACACAGAAAAATACAAGGTTCTTCACCTTGGGAGGAAAAACCTGCAGTATCCTGATAGGTTTGGCAGTGCTACACTGGCTAGCACTTTGGAAGAAAGGAACTTGGGGGTCATGAATGACCACGGAATTAACATGAGCCTTCAATGTGATGCTGCAGCTAGTAATGCAAGCAAAATGCTGGCTTGCATCCATAGATGCTTCTCGAGCAAATCCCAGGACGTCTTTCTCCCGTCATACTCAGCCCTGGTGAGGCCGCAGCTGAAGTACTGAGTCCAGTTTTGGGCTCCACAATTCAAAAAGGATGTGGAGAAGCTTGAGAGAGTCCAGAGGAGAACCATGCGCATGATCAGAGGTCAGGAAAGCAGACCTTACGATGAGAGGCTGAGAGCTATGGGACTCTTCAGCCTGGAAAAGCGCAGGCTCAGGGGTGATCTGGTAGCCACCTATAAGTTTATCAGGGGTGCTCATCAGGATCTGGGGGAACGTCTGTTCACCAGAATGCCCCAAGGGATGACAAGGTCAAACGGTCACAAACTCCTCTGTGACTGTTTCAGGCTGGACATAAGGGAGAACTTCTTTACTGTCTGAGCCCCCAAGGTCTGGAATAGATTGGCATCAGAGGTGATTCAAGCACCTACTTTGAACACCTTCAAGAGACATTTGGATGTCTATCTTGCTGGGATCCTATGCCCCTGCTGACTTCCTGCCCTTTGGGCAAGGGGCTGGACTCGATGATCTTCCAAGGTCCCTTCCAGCCCTAATGTCTATGAAATCTATGAAATCTATGAAATCATGGTGAATGCTAGCATGGAGGTGGTGTCAGCTGCAGCTGAGCTAAGCACAGCAGTGGATAAGTTGGCAACTTCAGTCATGGCAGTTCCTGGCCTACAGGGGACAGGAACAGTTGTTGTAGCTACTGATATGGCACTGGTCATTAGTCGGACGGTTCTGGTTCCAACTTCAGTAGTGGAGGCCACAGGTTTAGACATGGTTGTCACTCCTGTTGTGGCTGTGGAAGTTATTGTGGCTGCAGTGGCTGTGACTGGAGGGATTGATGTGGTGGCAGCTTTGGTTTCGGTGGTGGTTGGCAAGGAGGTCATGGCAGCTTCACTGGTAGTGACTAGAAGTGATGAAGTGGTGCCAGGTGTGTGGAGTGTTTGCTGGTGTGGAGATAATCCTTGCAGCCACAGAGGTGGTTCCAACTCTAGTTGTCGTCTTCGTGAGTGTAGACATACTGGGAACTGCAGTCGTGGTGGCTCTGGGAATGGAGGTATTGGCAGCTTCAGTAGTGGTAGTTGCTGTTGTGGAGCTGGGATCTTCTGTTCTGGAGACAGCTGTAGCTGCTGTGGAGGTGGTTCCAACTGCAGTAATGGAGGCCAATGTTCTGGACATGGTGGTTGCTGCTATCATGGCAACTGTGGCTGTGGAGGTCATTGTGGCTGCAGCTGATGTGATGGCAGCTTTGGTCCTAGTGGTAGTTGGTATGGAGGTAGTAGCAATGTTGGTGGTTCTGGGAGTGGAGGTATTGCTAGCTTCAGTTGTGGTAGGTGCTCTTGTGGAGGTGAAGGCTGTTGTTCCGGAGATGGCTATTGCTACTTTGGAGGTTGTTTTCCTAGGAGTTGTGGAGGCCACTGGTGTGGATGTGCTGGGAGCTGCTGTTGCGGTATCTGTGGCCATAACGGTCATTGGAGTTTCAGCTGTAGTGACTACTGGGCCTGATGTGGCACTGCCTGTACTCAGAGTGGCTGCTGGTATGGAAGTGGCACTAGCTTTCATTATGGTGGCTGCCAGGTTGGATGTTGAGGCAGGTTCAGTGGTGGTGGCTCCTAGTGTGGAGGTGGAGGCAGGTTCGGATGTCCTGGCTGCCAGCATCAAAGTTGTGGCTATTTCAGTTTTAGTGGACAGTGGTGCAGAGATGTTGATAGCTTCATTTGTGGTAAATTCTGACATGAACTTGGGGGCTGTTGTTGTGGAGATGTTTGTTGCTACTCTGAAGTCGGTTTCATCTTCAGTTGTCAGAGCCACTGCCATGGGCATGGTAGCACCTACAGTCACAGTGGCTGTGGGTGTGCAGGTCACTGAAGTATAGTCATGATAGTTGTGGGTGTGTAGATTGGAGCTGCTGGTGCTGAGGTAGGGGCAGCTGCAGCAGGTTGGGTAGCTGCTGGTGTGGATGAGGAGTCAGGTTCAGTCATGGTGGCCACTGACAGTGAGGTAGTTGTGACAAGTTTCTTCCTGTTCACTGCTGGTGTTACCATAGTTCCAGCTTCATTCATGATGGATCCATATGTGGAGTTGGGGTCAGCTAGTCTGGAGATGGTGGAGGCTGTGGCAGCTTCAGTCATGGTGGCCACAGATCTGGAGTGGTTTTCTTCTGGTGGTGAGGTTGTGCCTGATGCTGTCATGGTAGACAATGGATGGGATAAGGTGGCAGCTAGTTACAGTCATGGTGGCTGCTGGCCTGAACATGGGGGTAAGTTCATTCTTGCTCGATGCAGGCCTTGAGTTGGTGGCAGATTCAGTCATGTGCAATGCCATCATGACATCAGTGCCAGCTTCAGTTGTGCTGGTTGCTGACAAGGATTTGGTAGTGGCATCAGCTGAGTTACTTCTTGGATTGGAAGGGCTGGCAGCTCCAGTTGTGGAAGTCGTCGCAATGATGGTGGTGTCTGCTCCCACGGAAGTAGCTCCTGGAGTGGAGGACCATCTCACCGGCCTCTCACGGTCTGACTGCCTATGGATTCATAAAGGGTTTCAGAGCAAAAGAGATGGATACCAGCTTTCTGATACATGTGATGGCTGCACCATCTTGGAGTAAATGTGTGCAGATGGCATTTCAGCAAAACTGGCTTAAGTGGGTAGCATTGTGCAGCGTGGGGGATATAGATGAGATAAGTGCCTCCCTGCTTTTTACAGGGAAACCAGC